AAATGGTTGGCTATTGTGCATGTTCCAGAGGCCTGCACCATATCCCAGAGGCCCAGCAACATCATATACGCAGTTCCTACATGTATACAAAATATTATAGTCACTGCTCAACTGGTATGGGTTAATTTAGTGAGAAAAGCTGAAAAAAGCAAACAGAGTGCTATAAGAGAAAGACCTGTTCCCTCACCAGGTATATAACAGTCATAGAATGCAAATAATTTCCAAGCAAACCAATGATTTTAGTAAAAATAAAGTTTTATTTATTTTAATGTATATTTAATAGGAAAGTGCAAATGTGCAAAACAGAAGTACAAAGAAATGCCATTGAATGTACAAAACTGCATGCATGGTAATAAAGTGCTTAAGACATAATGTGCTTTTACCAAACATCCATATTCATATAGTATACAAAGTATGGAGAGACTATATAATAATGTAAACAATAAACACTTGGGTGCTATTCACAAATGGTACTCCCTCAAATACCAAAACAATCAGTACATACATGAACAGAGAATGCACACCAAAAACCATACAAAATTAATATCTTGGTTTAATAAGTCAATATCTGATTTACAAGTATGATATAAATATATTACAAATAAAGTGATAGTAAACAGGCTAAACAAAAATCCACAGTAAATATTTACCACAATTCCACAACCTGATAGGGCAGAAACACGAATACAATGAACCCCCCAACCTGTGTATTAGCAGAGTAGGATTAAGATTCCACAGAGCCCTACGCAAGATTCTGGTCTGGAGCCCTCTTTTATTCACCGTACAGGAATGGTGAATGGGGTCAAACAAATTCTAACTCTGAAGCCCTAAGCAGGTGCCCAAGTTTAGTTTATGGTTAATATGTTCTGTAAATAACTATAGTGACCAAGACATACATTATACTTCTATGTACTAAGGAATTAGGAGTTTACAAAATGTTACAGTCTAATGGACATTAATTGTGGATAATTATTGATGTTTAATATCTCCTCTACCAATAATGGTAATGTTCACTTGCCCCAAATTCTCTACGAGAGATCACCGATCTGCCGATTGTTTGATAACTCACTACTGATAGATGGTAATATATCTTTAAGTTCACTATAGTAATTAACTGGACTATTTATGATATTTTTTGGAAACCCACCTCTACCAATGAACGGCAAAGTCTATTTACATAATTGTTTTGGTATAGAGATGACAAAAGATATCTCAAGATAACAATAATTTACAACAAAAAACATCTAATATTGGATAGATACAGAATATGTTCCAGAACTGAACACTGAAAATAGTTGTTTCTGTTCCCTTGCCTAAAAGTTCTCTATAGAGATTTATTTAGCTGAATATAAATAAGTATTGACTTTTTAAACATTAACCACAGTCATGCACTGAACTACCTGTAAATATTAAAAACACCAGTGTCAATATATTGTGTTTTACATAAGGATTCTATGCAGAGATTACCAAATATATTCTAACTACTGTAGTAAATTAGTGTTGGATATTAGAGTTGTATATAGCCCCATTACTGGAGGGAGAAGCTGGCTCACAGATACACTTATCCAGCTTTTGGCTTAGTACTGAGAGGGTTATATTTCTTAATGTATTGCTAAGGGCTGGCAGCATCTGGAAAGTGATTCTCAGATCTAGGACAGGATTCAAGTCATTTCAGTAAATCTTAAATAACCACAATGTTATAAAAATCTCCTCACTACCAAACGGGAACACTTTTACATGTAACTAAAGGAACCTTTGACAAATGATGAGATAAATAAACTTTTCAAAAACAAGTATTGACTATCTGTAAGACGGTACATGTCAGATACAATTGCAACAAACAAAAAGAAATTAACACATTGATCATACAATAAATCCTTAGATCAATATATGTATGTGGCAGATGACTTAAAATGGGGTAAAACATATCCATAGAGATTCATGGTGCAAGTGGCTGCCGAGTCGACACTTGCTCTCTTATCATCATTGACAAACAAAGAGTATCCCATTTCGTGACATAAATAACAATATAATCACTATAACAAAATAATGTCAATGAAAAGCAAAGAAATAACTTGAAAAATAGATATTCATGTAGCGTCTGTGTAAGATCATTTAGAATTTCACATAGTCGGGGTTTTGTTATGCACTTTAAACATAGGGCCTTTGGCGTGGGTCCAATCAATGCTCTTGTTATGGTGACCGTTCCTCCTCAGGTCTATTGTCTACTATTTGTCCTGTCACTGAGAGTTGTCAGTTAATGCCATACTTGTATCTAGCCTTGTTCCCCCAGGTTACCCACGACTGCCATTGAAGTATGTAGCGGGAAGGTATGTTTTGTGTATATGCAGTCATTTCTTCCATTAGTTTGATGTCTTCTTTCCTACTCTGCCATTCTGAAGACAGGATTTAGAGTCAATATTTTGAAATTTATGGTAATGGATGGACAGTTGTGGTTCTTTGTTTCCACCTCTTCCTTATTTGAGACAGGCCGCTGACACACTTCTGCAGCAATCCTGCACTGCGTTCTGATGGCCGGGAGGAGTGGATGGAAGCTGTAGCTTCTGTTTCTGTGTTGCTGTCAGAGTTGGAGAAGCGGCAGCACAGAGCCCGTATTGCTCGTCTCAGACGGGATCCCCTCTTTCTCTGTTTGTTTCCCTCATTCTCAACTTTGTCGCTGTCGTTTGAGTCACTCAGGTGTTCTACTGCATTCTCATCAGATGTTTCCTTCTCACTCTGAGCTTGTATTTCCTGAGTGTCAGGTTCTGTATCGTCCATTCTATCCTCAGAGTCTTCTTCAACTTTGTTTGTTTCATCTTGAGCCGGCTACCCGTGAAACAAAAATAAAAGGTCAGAATGTATTCATTTAAGGAGCCCATTGTGCAATGCTATTCATTAGCACTGATAGAAAGGACTGGGAGCTAACATATATAATGATATCTCTATATTGGGAGGAATATAAAATAGAAAGCTGCTCTACTGTTAACACAAATTACCCTAAGAATGTATTTAGTAAAATATAATATTATAACTGTTCACGCTGTATGTCTATGTTCTGTTATAATTATGAATATGCTAATTTAAAAAATAAAAATTTGTGGGGGGGTATTTTAATTAACATTGCTATGTGAAACTGTCCAAGTACAATGTTACCTCAGTGTAATTCCTAATAGTTTTTTACAGGTTTGTTGAAGATCATAAGGGGGGCAATCATGGAGGTCCCCCTCATTACACTAACATTCAGCACAGGGATTGGGGTTATGGAGAGAGGGCTTTGCAACTGACCTTCTCTCTCTCACCTGCTATTGGATAAGGGACATGGGGGGGGCATTGACCAGCGTCTTCTTATTAAACATATTAAAATAAGAAGACTTAGTACTTACACAGATATGCCCAGAGTTATAGCGTTAAGGTCATGCTAAAATTAAAAATTGTTTTAAGGCCACCTATTTAATAAAAATCTTTCTGAGGTTAGTCTCTGGAAGCAGTTTAAGCAGTAATTATTGCAGTTAGCATGTAAATCTCTAATGTTAATAATAGTGTGGGACCCACCGACATTGGGGTACTATGAGCAGAGGCGTATTTTGAAACCACTGGGCCCTGGTGCAACAAATGCCCTGCCCCCAAATCACCCCCCCATGTGTCTCAATCCTCTTCCCCCCAACCCCTCTATGTATCTCATCCTCCCACCTCCTGCTCCTTCATATGGCTCAACTTCCCCCCAGGTCCTCTGCGTTTCTTATCCCCCCTTGTGTCTCCACTCCTCTACAGCCCCTTGATCATCATATTCTTCCCCCAAGACTCTCCATGTGTCACATTTCCCCCAGCAGTTCCTTGTATCTCCCCCAACTGCCTCCCCTCCTGTACCTGCTCTGTACCTCTATGTAGCGTGGTCGAGCAGTACTTGATCTGACAGGAAGTGCTTGTTGCTATCAGTGGCAAAGCGACTGGACCCCCTGGAGTGACTGGCTGGGTTGCAGCTGTGACCCCCTGCATCCATTGTAGTTACGCCACTGACAGTGATGTAGTGATAGGCTTAACAGAATATGGCCATGTGGTGTAACTGAATCCCCTTATTTGTTTGCTGAGATAGGTCTTTTTTGTGTGTTTTTCTTTTTTTGTTCTCTGTTCCTTAATCTATATTTAATAAAAGTAATTTTACTATGATTCACAATGTAATATATATTTACCTGCAATTTGCAGATCTCCATGTCTTGGAGGCAGGATTCTACGCTGTAAAAAGAGAGAGAAGGACAGTGGGGTGTAATTATATGGAAAGGAAAATGTCATAGTGAAAAATATTTTGAAGAAATAAAAGTGTGGAATGTTATGTAAAGATGGGAACAAGTGATGAAGAGAAGAAAAAAGGACATAAAAAGTAATAAAATTATTGAATGAAAAGGGTATTGCATAAAGAATAATCACATTAAGATTTACTGAATAAAACCTTCCTTCCAAGGACAGAGACTTAATAATTGCAGTTGCTATTTATAGTAACCCATACTTTCACAGTCTTTTTAAAAGATCACTGCTTTAACCTGTGTTAAACAGCTTTCGAAAGATGTAACATAAGTGGATACATGGATGGATGGATGCATGGATGGATGGATGGATGGATGGATAGATAGACAGAACCTGTAACCCCCTTCCCCTGCTTGTCACTGTCAGTCAAACTCACTACCCACTGTTACCCCTCCCCTGCCAGTCCCTCTCAAGATAGATAGATCATAGATAGATAGATAGATAGACATATATTATTTTAAGTATTTAATTTATTATCTATTTATTGGCAGACCTGGAATGCCACGATCAATACTAGATCTTTTGTTCATACAGAAATCAGGCCATTTTTAGTCCGTTCGTGGCATATACATGGTATATCTCTCTTTGAAAGTTTTTTACACGATTTATGACTTTAATTAACCCTTTTACTCCCACATTAATATCAACTTTCCCAACATTTCCAAGCAACCTTTTCAATGAGCAAAGAAAATAACGTACTATGAACTTTGTGAGAAGTGTGTGAGATGAGCCATGGTGATGAAGGGATGGCTGAGAAGGTCTATGGGAGTAATCCTCTTCTCTGGTTCTATAGCAAGCATCTCTTTAATGAGATCAAGACATTGCCATGCATCATTCATCTCCACCATTGTGCAACAGATATCTGCCTCTGACAGTGCATATGTCTGAAGAGAGAGAAAAATTGTGTGAGATATGTTAGTGAGGTTTGTTAGCATAAAAACATGTAATCACAAAAAAATTTAACTTTTTTTTTGTATCACAGAGCCACCATTAATGGCAGTAAGTACAGTACTCTCTACCTCCTAATTTCTATAGTGTTTGGTTGGCTTCCTGGTAAATAGCCGCCATGCCATTGGAAAAACTGTTTGTGGTTATTGACCGATCTTCAGACTCGAGTTACAAAATAGATATCTGAAGACAACATAGGGGTTTGAAAAATAAGATAGGGGTTTTAATTTTTTATAAGATTTTGGAATCAAACAGCTACAAAAGAGGGAAACAGTAATTATATTAAATTACAACAAAATGTAAGTACATATGAACCATGCACATATATTTTTGTGTCCTCATGCTGTTGCTCTTCAAACCCAACGTTAAGCACAAAGAGATTGCTCCACCATCTCCTCTGTGCATGATCAACCAGGCTGTTTTAAAGTATTTTTCTTCAGGATATCCAGAATATCTTAGAGAATATAACATGGGTTAGGGCAGGCTGCCATATAAACTTCTATTTTAGGTCAATGAGAGAGCCCTGGAAATACAGTACCTTTGCCAAGTCATCAAGACAACTGAAGATATTTTGCCTTCTTTCTATTGGCTTAATACCAGTCTCACGTTCGTAGCGGTCTTTAGACTAGAGGAAAACAAAAAGATTCTCCATTAGTTTCTAGAAGGAGAAACTCATTCACTGTAGCATTTTCCAGTGTCCCAATGAGTTTCCTGATAATGTAAGGATGGAACCAATAAACATTTCTTGCCATTAACTTATCCATTAGCTGTCCTGAGTCTGAATAGTTTGGTCTTTTTTTTATTATTACCATTTAGTGGTGATAATTTATTTTTTAATTGGCTGCAAAGCTGACGGATAAAGGGGGTTACTAGTTAAAACTCTTTACAAAGGAACAGTTATCTATGATTTATCACATCTACACTTCCAAATTACTGAATATTAGTGTGTAAAACTTCACTTTAATAAGATAAACAAACTAGGAATCTTGGAATGTCGATTTAACCACTCCATGGTAAATCATGTGCTTGGACTGTCATAATATTGTAGGACTTGCAGAACCTTTTGTCCTGTATTTAATTTTATATACATATGGTTGATATATAAGGTCTCACCTTCAATCTCCATGGTGAATGCTGGTAATGTCTGTGTCTTTTAAAGAACAGATGGGTCTTTTTTGCCCTGTTGAGCATGTATTCATCGGGCAAACCCTGGGTCTCAGAGATGTAGCGGATCTGCAGGGAGAAAGAAAGCGGACATAAAATTTAATGTACCCACATTAAAACTGTAACTTATCCATAATCTCCAGCTTCTCTTCTGTCTGAACTATACAAACAAAAACAGTAATATTAAGTAGACTTGAGTGCTGCCTAAATTTTCAAAACATTTTGTTTAGTCCAAATTGCATTTAGTCCGTTTGTTAATTTCTTTTCAGTAGAATTTCAGACATTAATTTAGATTACGCAATAAAAATGGAGGGTGGAGCTATTGATCCATCCCAGCCCCCACCCATTGACTGCAAATTTGGTCTAATAGTAAATAATTACTAAGTAATAATTCCACTATCCCTGTGATCACGGGACCCAAGCTCCAGGTTAACCCCCAATAACAAAATATTTTACCTAACCACCTCAACCTAATCATAGTTAGGGGGAGGGAGCAATGAACTTAATATGTGGAAAATAAAAAAATAATACTTACCATTAGATGTCTTTTTTTTCCAACCACAAACAGGCCAGATAAAAATTCATAAAGTCGCGTTGAAATATTAATATGAAGGGAAAAAAAATGAAAAATAAACAAATCGCAAAAAAAAACACTCAGAAAAAAATACTTGGAGGGAAAAAAAATACATCTTTACCCAGTTAGGACCAATTTTATAAAGCTTTTTGTGCAATTTGCCTCAGATCACCTTGATTGGTTGACTTAAGCCATTTAATCAGAGTTCACTTACAGGTACATCTTGAGACTAACAGAAAGTCTCAAGATTTATCTGTCAGAGCACTCTGATAGGGAGGACAATAGGTCCAGCCATCATTGTATTATTTAGGGTTCCCACACACTTATTACCCTCCCATTATTATTTAGGGCTCCCACCCGCCACCAATGAATTGGGGCTGGTGGTGACAATAGGTACCTCCATTATTATTTAGGGTCCCTACCTACCACCAATGCGTGGTGGCTGGGGAAGCACTGTGCCCCACATTCAGTTGGAGGCTGGAGGGGAACACTGGGTCTCCTATTTAGTTAAATAGCCCTTACTTGCTGCGCATGGGTGGGGTAATGGGGGAAACTATATCTAGTCAAGTTTGGACTTTTGCCTAACTTTAGCAATTAAAATACGAAAAAGGAACAAGTGGATATAAAGGCGCTAATAATAATTGTCCTCTAATTAAATTTATAGCACGTGACAAAATATTAGTGAAAAAAGCACCCTAAATAGTGTAACAGCTCATAAGAACACACAATAAATACAAGAAATCTATATAGGTGCGCTGTGTCTTTAAGACAAAACTCTGAGACTCCTGCATACACTGTCTGTGTCTACGATGCTAGTTGCTTGAAAGATACTGCTAAGTAGATGAAGGTCTTACTTGCTATTGCTTCCCAGAGATCATGCTCAAGAGGTTACTTTTATAATTCTTATTCCCCCACTAAATAAGTGCTTGAAAATCATAATAGTGCTACATGCTGAAAAATCGTGCTGTGCTAAATAGTGAAACCAACGCGCGTTTCGCCAGGGCAGGTTTTATCTATAGGAAAATATCCACCATATTAGTTGGGAATAGGAGCTTTGATTTAATTTATGTACACTGCTTTCAGTACTCAATTGATAACGTATCCTGTCCCTTACCTTTTCCTTGGTATTACTTTTTCCTCCTGGGTGGTCCAGTATAGAGTTTATATCTCTTTATAGCTCTTTTTAATTGTGTTATATGTCTCCCTTGCAGTTTAGTAATACAATTTACTTCATTATATGTTTTATGAAGTTTATCCAAAAAGGAACCATTTCTGTGTGCCCACTATGACTCTGTCCCTTGGACATACACTTTCTCTCTATGATTAAAATTTAGGGTTACCTCCTGTCTAGGTTTGCTTGTACACACCACAGTCCCTTTGTGGGACACTCTGTGTTTTTTATAGCAGAATACCATGTAGCAGCTTTATCCAGAATCCCCCCTTTATACAATGCTGCAGTTCAGGTTGTATATTTAAAAGAGTTTTTTAAAATTATTTGCATATGGATGTCATCACGCTCGACCACGCACGAACGTAAATTAGTACACATTGCACGCCTGCAGACTTGCAACTCCGCACCCGGGAAGTCTTTTGATTGCGGCACACTCAGTTACCTTGGTGAAAGAAGCCAGCTTTTTACTCTTGGAACCTGCTACATTGTATGAAGGGGGAATTCTGGATAAAGCTGCTAAATGGTATTCTGTGCAATCAATCTGTGATGTGGATCGACTGTTTTAGCCATTTTTTACCCAGGGATGGAATATTTGGAGCTGTCATAGTCAGAGCAGGCTCTTCTGCTCTACATTTGTGAGTGTGTATTTTATCTATTATATTTGGCTTTTGGTTATATAGATTTACACCATTTGTATTTCTTTTCCTCCTTTTTTATGATACATGGAGATGACCAGCATATGCATTTTTATGTGAGTGTTTTGTGTATTTTTATCACAGTTTTGCACATATGTGCCCAATATATGTGTTAAGAAATTTCATGCACTGTAATGCAAATCACACTTTTGCACATTAAATCACTTGTTGCACTTTAAAATAATTTTGTCTTAAAGGACCACTCTAGGCACCCAGACCACTTCAGCTTAATGAAGTGGTCTGGGTGCCAGGTCCCTCTAGGATTAACCCTTTTTTTTTTTATAAATATAGCAGTTTCAGAGAAACTGCTATGTTTATAAAAAGGTTAATCCAGCCTCTGAAGCCTCTAGTGGCTGTCTCATTGACAGCCGCTAGAGGCGCTTGCGTGCTTCTCACCGTGAAAATCACAGTGAGAAGACGCCAGCGTCCATAGGAAAACATTATGAATGCTTTCCTATGAGACTGGCTGAATGCCCGCCAGGCTCCTGCCGCGCATGCGCATTCAGTCGAAGAGGAGGATTGGAGGCGGAGAGGAGGAGGAGAGCTCCCCGCCCGGCGCTGGAAAAAAGGTAAGTTTAACCCCTTTCCTTGCCATCCAGCCCGGCGGGAGTGGGACCCTGAGGGTAGGGGCACCCTCAGGGCACTATAGTGCCAGGAAAACGAGTATGTTTTCCTGGCACTATAGTGGTCCTTTAAAGACACAGCTCACCTATATAGATTTTTTTAATTTTAGCAATTGTATATCTTTAAGTCACTACAATTCCTTGTTTAGTGAAAACATCTATTTAATTTAAAATGAAAATGACCATTTTATTTTACATTGCAATTTGACTCCTGTCTATACAATCAAATAAATCAGCTACACAATGCCTTTCTATGTGAATTCAGTCTGGATTCTGATTGAGACCTTAACATACAATTAGACATAAATATGTATTGGATTTTCACTCACCTGATCATACTCAGATGCTCCGGGATATAAAACATATCCTGTGAACAGCTCTGCCATGATGCATCCCAAAGACCACATGTCAATAGCCTCACCGAATGGATATGCCAATATAATTTCTGGAGACCTGCAATTTACAAAAAGGGGAGATATAAGGTTAGGACATGTCACTTGTGGAAACTGGGTATAAAACATGCCCTCTGTAAGAGCACTGTGTGTAGACATAGTTGGCTGATAAACTCCTCCAGAAGCCATAAACTGGTTTAATAATGCCACTAAACATTTCATAAAAACAGATAAATCACTAATGTCACTAAATATTTCATAAAAACTGAAAAAAAAATTATGTGATCTGATTAAACGAACACTATAGGGTCAGGAGCACAATCTTGTATTCCTAAAAAGGTAGTGTTTACAGCAAAACCCCTGCTGGAACAGGCTATAGACACCAGAACAACTATAATAAGCTGTAGTAGTTGTAGTGACTATAGTGTCCCTTTAACATTATTCTTTATATTAATTTCATAAAAGTAAAGAATATCAATGCACTAACAATCTCATTTAAGCTTACCTATAACATCTTGCTTGTATATAACTCGAACACCGAGCCTCGGACACATGTAATGCACAGCCAAAGTCTATCACCTTGACCTTTAATGGGTGTGTGATATTGTCCACCAGCATGATGTTGTCTGGCTTCAAGTCTGTATGGATTATTCCAAGACTCTTGAGCTTTGCCAGTGCAATGCCCACCTGTGCCACGATAGGGCGGATCATTCTCACAGGAAACGAGCCACCAATGGATTCCATGTAGTCAAAGAGACTCATATGTAGCATCTCAAACACAAGGCAGATGATATTGTTGTACAGGAAGAACTCATGGGCTTTAATGACATTGAATTCATCTGGGCGTTCCTTGTTCAGCTGGGTCAGGATTTTTATCTCTTCTTGTGCATCTTCAGCAACATATTTGTGGTTCTTTAACATTTTGATGGCCACATTCTCACTGGTTCCTTTTTTAACACACTTTACAACCTGCCCAAAGGTGCCACTGCCCAAGAGTTCTTGCACTTCATAAGTGTCAGTCTCAGAGTACAGGACTTTGAGTTCCTCCAATATACTAAGGGGAAAAAAACAGGAACAGATTAATTTTAACCCAATGCTAAGTTTCAGGCACAATATGAAACCATCTAAATGAAGTTTGACATTTTTATCAGGTTAACAATGGAATGATGTTTCCTTAAAACATATTATTTAAATTTATGCAACATCTTGTATTTGTGAAGTTTAATTTGTTTTGTCTGTTAATTTGAATATCCTTCAAATCAGTATGAAATTTCCATGGTATTTAAATACTAAGGTTGATCTTTCACCTCCATATCTTTTAGCGTTGTTGAAAGCGTTTATCAAAATCTACAGTTGTTTTAGAGAAATATGGGATATCCAATAGAGACTATTGGATATCACCTCAGGGGTGTTAAAATCAGTCATCTGTAGGGTAAAACCTGAATGATTAATTATAATACATTGTAGCTATGCCAATCAAATTCCACCAAAGTGGAACGAATGGAGAGTAGTTTTTTTAGTTAGTAAATTAGCATTACCGTATGTGACGAACTAACCTTCGCCACTGGTTTTTGGAGAGGACTAATGGCCAGCCTTTTGCCCAAAGACAATGGGCCCTGCAAAAATACATGTTAAAAAGTGACTTCCATGGGAAAATGTGCCTCTTCCCCTCCCTCTTTTTCCTGTCCTATTGTTTCTCCAGCAGGGCGTTGTCCCATTGACACTGCCAGACCTCCTCAATCTCCCATTAGCCCTTGCTATTGTCTGACCCCACCCTTCCTTGTACTATAGGACACTTTTAACATTGGACATATTGAGCGGTCAGATCCAAGCTATCTGGCGATATGTCGGACATATAGGTTAAACATTGTATTATAAGAGTTATGTATTTTTATGTGGTTTTTGTAACAGTTTTTGACTTAGAGATATTTCCTGTACCTGGAGATAATTAAGTTACCACTTAAGCCAATTATCTCCAGGATAGAGGAGAAGATAGACCGGCCTCACAGCCTAAATCTGTGGAACTGTTTTGGGCATGAAAACCATGCTTGCGGTTGGTCAAATATGACTTCCACAAAACTTTTGAACCCCTGCTCTGATCTGGGTGATTTCTGGATATGTTGTTCACCCAGACCAAGGCTATCCAGGGATGTATGTATTTGTGGGGATATGTGATGTTTTGGGGTGTTTTCTGTGTTTTGTGAAAAATGTGTGTTTTCTGCCTGTGGGTAATTGAGTTAGTCCATTGTGTCTGGTAGTTGTATCACAGGCAGAGGGGAGGGTTTGTGTACATTATCTGGGAGTGCCTAACTGTACAAGAGTGTTTTGATTGGCTTTGTAACTTTGTGTCCTGGCTCCACAAGGTCCACATGGGTGGTAACCTTGTGGGAAAACTTGTATAAAAGAGACAATAAACCCCCAGTTCACTCTGTTCTGCTTCACCCTCAATACATAGCCTTGTCTCGTTATTGTAGAACTGCTATATTCACACTGGGTATTGCTATACTTTGTATACTCCCCTAAACTCTAATCACTTAGCTATTTTAAGAGCTGTTCCTGATGCTCTTATTGAGGAGATGTCTTTCCCACACGGTCCTGGAGGACAGAGGTTGATCCAGGGTGGAAGGAAGACGGCGAGACTCCAGTTAAGCTACGGTGGTTGTGGAGACTGCGGTGGTTGTGGTGTCCAGTGCGGTGCTTATGGTCCTCAGCGTCAGCTAGGAAGCGTCTTTCAATGGAAGTGCCCAGTCGGGGTGCCAGGTGATCCGTTGCACCATAATAAACATATCTCTGATAGCGACCAGCAAGTGACTAGGTTATAATGTCTAGGTTTATAATAAAAGTAGTGGACACTGGACATTGAATTGAAAACCAACTTTTTAAAGTATCCCCCAGTAATTTTAAACTGTAGATTTGGAGGCATTCACACAGTCACACACTCATTTTGTTACTGGCTGTCTGTCAGGATCCAAACCCTTAATTCAGAACTTTATTCAGAACTTTCATTCAAGTTTGTACCAGCAGTAACTATGTTTTGCCACTAGTGGCCTCCCTAACCACTAGGTCTGAACGTTCCATCCCTCTACCTCACCATCCTCGGCTAATTACTTATCCTACAAAAGGCTACACCCTGCTCAATACGAAGTTGATGGTTAACCTGAAAAGACTTCTATTCCTGGCTCCTGTGAACTTACGTACTTTATTACCATCCTGTTGAATGCCATCCTTATTTACACTACCAAGCTACTTTATTCCAAGCTGATCTACACAACAAACCTTCTTTGCTACCCAGCTTCTTTATATTCCCCTGAACTACTCTACAAACCAACCTTTGTTACCAACCTGCTTCATACCAACCTGAACTACACCATCAACCTGCTTTATGATACCAACCTGCTTCATACCAACCTGATCTACGCAACCAACCTGCTTTGATACCAACCTGAACTACGATACTAACCAATACTGCAAAGCGTAATTTACCTGCTTTATCAGTGCTCCTTCCAAAAGGGGGCTGATTCATTAAATTTCTATTTTACTTGCAAATTTGAAACCTTTCCGTTCTGTACTGATTTGCTTGTTTTTTTATATATCCTATACTTTCTGCTACAGGTATTTGCTACTATCTAATTATTTCTTGATAACAACCTGCCTGGGGCATATTGCCTAAACCTATATTTCTATTACTTCACCTACTACCTACTTACCTATAATTCTGTTTATAGGTTCTCTTTCAATCTCATCTATAATTCCGCTTATAGATTTTCCTGCTACCATTTGCCTAACTCTCTTTTCTGTTCTCCATTCTTTACTTACCTCCCTCTTTGCCTTGCTAAGTATACCAATTGTGTGTATGTCTAAAGTCTCCGATAAACAACCAAACGTTAACCCTGGCATAAGTCTCTTACCTGACCTGCTCAAGACGATGACACTGTCATTCAAATTAAAGGACCACTATAGTGCAAGGAAAACAAACTCGTCATTAGGTCCCCCCCACTCTCAGGGCCCCCCTCCCGCTGGGCTGAAGTGGTTAAAACCCCTTCAGCCACTTACCTTTCTCCAGCGCCAGGCTCCCTCGGTGCTGGGGAACTCTCCACCCCCTGCCGATGTCAGGTCCAAATGCGTATGCGCGGCAAGAGCCGCGTGCGCGTTCAAACCGCCCATAGGAAAGCATTACCCAATGCTTTCCTATGGACTTCAAGCATCTTCTCACTATGACTTTCACAGTGACAATCGCGGAAGGGCCTCTAGCGGTTGTCAGTGAGACAGCCACTAGAGGCTGGTTTAACCCTCAGTGAAACATAGCAGGTTCTCTGAAACTGCTATGTTTTCAGCTGCAGGGTTAAAACTAGAGGGACCTGGCACCCAGACCATTTCATTGAGCTGAAGTGGTCTGGGTGCCTCTAGTGGTCCTTTAATTGTATTTAGCTATGAAGTAACTTATTGTGTAGCAATATTATTACTTTAGTTATACAAAAAGCAAACTATTTTTATATAAACCTACAGCAAGTCATTGTGTTGCTCCTCGGGTTCAGACATTTTGGAGTTTTCCTTCATTTTATATGCTGCTTGTCTTTCAAATTGATCCAATGTGGTTATCACTGGAATAACTGTTAATCACTGCTTACTCAGCACTGGATATAACAGATAATGAACCCCAGATACATCATAACTTTACATCATAGTCCCACTTTGCAACTTTTTGTTTGGTCTGTTGCTAGGCAACACCACCTGTGAATTGGAGTACAATGTTCATGCATGGTCAGCTGTCTACAAGCATTGAGAGGTTCTGACGAGCCAACAATACCTTAATATGAACATATATTATATAACATAGCGCACAGAGACACATTTGCCTATGTATTGAAATATTATGTGCACCTGTTTGTATTGTTAGAAGAATTCTTGTATTGCAGGGACAAAATGTATAAAAACAAACTGTATATTTCAAATCACAGAAACCTAGAATATAAAGGCAGATTAGAACCATTCGGCCCATCTAATGTGCCCAATTCTCTAAATAGTTTCATTAGTCCCTGGCCTTATCTTATATCTAGGATAGCCTTATGCCTATCCCACGCATGCTTAAACTCCTTTACTGTGTTAACCTCTACCACTTCAGCTGGAAGGCTATTCCATGCATCCACTACCCTCTCAGTAAAGTAATACTTCCTGATATTATTTTAAAACCTTTGCCCCTCTAATTTAAGACTATGTCCTCTTGTTGTGGTAGTTTTTCTTCTTTTAAATATAGTCTCCTCCTTTACTGTGTTGATTCCCTTTATGTATTTTAAATGTTTCTATCATATCCCCCCTGTCTCGTCTTTCCTCCAAGCTATACATGTTAAGATCCTTTAACCTTTCCTGGTAAGTTTTATCCCGCAATCCATGAACCAGTTTAGTAGCCCTTCTCTGAACCCTCTCTAAGGTATCAATATCCTTCTGAAGATACGTTCTCCAGTACTGTGTACAATACTCCAAGTGAGGTCTCACCAGTGTTCTGTACAATGGCATGAGCACTTCCCTCTTTCTACTGCTAATACCTCTCCCTATACAACCAAGCATTCTGCTAGCATTTCCTGCTATTACATTGTCTGCCTACCTTTAAGTCATCTGAAATAATTACTCCTAAATCCCTTTCCCCAGATGTTGAGGTTAGTAGTTTATCAAACATTCTGTACTCTGACCTTGGCTTTTTACGCCCAAGATGCATTATTTTGCACTTGTCCACATTAAATATCAGTTGCCACAGCTATGACCATTTTTCTAATTTACCATTTGGCTTATTCCTTCTCGACCGTCAGCCCTGTTACAAATATTAGTATTATTAGCAAAAATACATACCTTACCATCAACACCTTCTGCAAGATCACTAATAAAAAATATTAAAAATACATTTAAAAAATCAAAGCTATATTCTGTTTAGTTGCTATTGTAAAAATGGGAAATTCAACTCAAAATTAGATAATAGTAAGTGACCAAAATAGTTAAATTATGCTTAACTATTGATTGTATCTTAAAAAAAAAAAAAAAACATCCCCAATGTTAAAAAACCCTCTTAGCACCAAAACACATAATCATTTAGAAGTAGTTTTGGTACATAGAGCCTATCCCTATTATCAATACTGAAAGTCTTTACATTTAATGTCATCACACATACTTTCTCATTAGCCATGGCAGCACAGAGATGATGGGCTGCCGGGACTCTCGTTTAGCATTAAAACATAAAAACTGTTTAATTCTGAATGAAATGACGGTACCAAGGGACTCCAGACACTATAACCACTTTAATGAGATGAAGCAGACACAGTGCCTACAGTGTCCCTTTAATGCTTCTCCAATAGAAGCATTTGATTGTCAGAGCACAGAGCCACCCATGCCTATAACTCCTCAATGCTTCTAATTACTGATGAGTTCACAGGAGGTCAAGTGACTGCACCAATGAGACTGACCTGGTGCTGCACTACAGCTAACTTATAGCTATGGTTTTACTTATTTTTTTAAACCGAGGTGGCTCTAAATCTGAACACTAACAAGCACAATATGTGCTGGATTCTCTTAACAGAGTAAGGGTTTATTCTGCTTACTGAGTAACAATTTTCCACTAGTCTTCAAAGGAGAAATTACTATTCACTAAGCAGTGTAAACCCTTACTCTTGTGTGAGAATATAGTCCAATAACGTTAAACTCAAATACCTTTATTTAATGTCAGATTGTTCTTTTTAGTTGAAACATAAATTTTGTGTTATACGATATCTTCCCCATAATGCATTAACAGCTCCTTCTGTTCTACAAAAGCATAATTAAAGGATCACTATACGGTCAGAAACACAAACATGTATTCCTGTCCCTATAGTGCTTATCCCACCATTTAGGTGGCTTGCAACCCCTTAGCCCCCCTATAAAAGTTTAAAACTCACTGCCCCCTTTGTGACATCATCGAAATGGCTGATCCATAGGGAAAGCATTGGTTTGGCTAAAATTGGCACAGGGGCAGGACCAAATGCAGTTTTGGCCAATCTGGACTTTCTCATAGAGATGCATTGAAGCAATGCATCTCTATGAGAAAAATTCAGCGCCTCCATGCAGAACGTGGGTTCGCTGTATGGCAGGGCTGCTTACTGTGCAGCCCTGAGCTAGGAAGCCCCTCCAGTGGCCATCTATGGAGTTGCCAATTGGAGGTGTCCCTAGGGGAAATGTAAACACTGCCTTTTCTCTGAAAAGGCAGTGTTTACATGAAAATGCCTGAAGGGAGCTATTATACTCACCAGAACAACTACATTAAGCTATATTGTAAAATATGTGCAGAATTGTGAACTTATACCTGGTTTGCATTGTAACAATGCTACTTTTCATACTTTACTAAGCATTATGTATCACTTTCTGTGTTTAAATAAAGAATTGGAAAAAAACAAATAAATAAGATAAAACAAAAAAAATATTGACAGACTTACAGTGCCTTGCAAAAGTATTCAACCCCCCTTGATTTTTTAACCTATTTTGTTACATTACAGCCTTGAGCTCAATGTTTCATTACTCTGAATTGTATGTGATGGATCAGAACACAATAGTCTAAGTTGGTGAAGTGAAATGAGAAATATATATACATAAAAACTATTTTTTAGAAATAGAAAACAGAAAGTTGGCATGTGCGTATGTATTCACCCCCTTTGTTATGAAGCCCATAAAAAGCTCTGGTGCAACCAATTACCTTGAGAAGTCACATAATTAGTGAAATAATGTCCACCCGTGTGCAATCTAAGTGTCACATGATCTGTCATTACATATACACACCTTTTTTGAAAGGCCACAGAGGCTGCAACACCTAAGCAAGAGGCACCACTAATTAGGTGTGAGGCACCACTCTGTGCATGATTTGAGGCTAGGATGGACGTTTACCTTCCAGCAGGACAATGACCCCAAGCACACTGCTAAAGCAACACTTGAGTGGTATAAGGGGAAACATGTAAATGTGTTGGAATGGCCTAGTCAAAGCCCAGACCTCAATCCAATAGAAAATCTGTGGTCAGACTTAAAGATTGCTGTTCACAAGTGCAAACCATCCTACTTGAAGGAGCGGGAGCAGTTTTGCAAGGAGGAATGGGCAAAAATCCCAGTGGTAAGATGTGGCAAGCTCATAGAGACTGATCCAAAGCGACTTGGAGCTGTGATTGACGCAAAAGGTGGCTCTACAAAGTATTGAATTTAGGGGGGTGAATAGTTATGCACATTGACTTTTTCTGTTATGTTGTCCTATTTGTTGTTTGCTTCACAATAAAAAAAAAATAATCTTCAAAGTTGTGGGCATGTTCTGTAAATTAAATGATGGAAATCCTCAAACAATCCATGTTTATTCCAGGTTGTGAGGCAACAAAACACAAAAAATGCCAAGGGGTGTGAATACTTTTGCAAGGCACTGTATCAGCTATGGTGATATATTTTAGGGGAAAAAAAATATTAAAATAATTTACTAATCATAAAATTCTGCAGGAATCGTTTCCAAAGCCATCCCCTCAGGGAGTGAGTACTGTTTTGGGGTTATTTAGGTTTACAGGTGCAATTATCTTTATTTTTTGTTGTTGTTGTTTTGTTTTTCATCAGTGGAATTGGATCTGACCTGAATCTATGCTGATTTTAAAAATGCACATTTACATAGAGGCTCTGATAATTTAACAGCTAAGCAAATGGCAGCCTGTTATTAATGTAAATAATGCTTAGCTATATTTCAGTTAAACCCATGTTTTTACAGTTAAATGAAATTCAGCAACTGGTTAGTATTTACTGAATAGACCTCACACACAGTTTATTTTAAACATTGGATAATCAGTAAACATAATACATATCAACACTGAAAACGTTTGCTTAATTGTAAAATTGTAAATAAAAATCATTTCAATTAGTGAATTTAGCATTAAAATAATTCTTATAGCTCTTGTAGCAGTATCCAGTAAGGTTCATGGTATAAAGTTAAATATGGGATATTGAAATAATAAACAACTTAACAAAATATCAACCAGTCATCCTAATCTGTTACATTATATCTAACTGAACTGCCATACAAATAATTACTATGTGATTTACCTTCTAACAATGATTACATTATTAATAAATATATCTAAAATAAGCTATTTTCATAAAAACCTACAGCATGTCATTGTGTTGCTCCTCGGGTTCAGACATTTTGGAGTTATCCTCCATTTTATATGCTGCTTGTCTTTCAAATTGATCCAATGTGGTTATCACTGGAATAACTGTTAATCACTGCTTACTCAGCTCTGGATATAACAGATAATGAACCCCAGATACATCATAACTTTACATCATAGTCCCACTTTGCAACTGTTTGTTTGGCCTGTTGCTAGGAAACAAGGTTAAGTAGAATATTCATGCATGGAGAGGTTCTGATAAACCAATAAGACTTTGATATAGTCATGTTTTATATAACATAGTGCACTGAGAAATATCTGTACATATACTAAAGCATTACACCCGTCTGCTATGTATTTGACTACTTCAATATAAAGGGATAAACATGAGAA